CRTTTCCTTATTCCCGTAGCTTCTTTGTCGTTCACGGTCAATTGCCCTTTCCGGAATTCAACGGGAGACTGAGGCGGAACTTAACACGCGAAGCACCCTGGGGCTGTTTTTGGAGACGCGGGAACAGCCCACGAATTTTAATCATGACAGAGTTATCGGTAGAAAAAGATAATATTACGAGCCTGTTACTGAACGAAGATGATATTCCAGGCGCAAAACTAAATACACCTGTTGAGCAATGTACCATTAACGTTCTAAAGCGATGGTTAAGTTGCCGTGCTGAGCGAAAGTTGGTGGCAAAAAAGAAGAACTTGTGATAAGGTATTTTAGCTTGATGTCAACACTGTTTGTTCAGTTATCTTTAAAACCTCTTGAATGGAAATTTTCCACAGATCATTAGCAGAATATATCAATATGATTGGGCAATGTAGAAAGCCGAGATCAAGTAAATTTCGACAAAATCGTTTTGTCTTCTATTCCATCAATTTCAATAATATCTTCTGGAACAATCTCATCTTACGGATTTCTTTGCTGTTCAATCTCCTTTGGAAGGTTTTCGCTGGACTCCTCGACATTGTGGAAATCAACACAAACACTTTTGGTCGGAGAGGGTTTTCGTCTTTTTCTTTTTGACGGTAAGTCGTGCTTAACTAGTTAACGACGTTTTACTTTAGCTTTAGACCATGGAAAAATTGATGGGAGTTTTGTACTACTCATCCTTTCGCCTGGCGGAAAATGTTTGCCGCATATTTTTGTACTCGACGAGTGTATTTTAAGATTAAGGTTTCGTATCAACTTGACATACTTAGAGAGCACTTTAGGATCTTGTGGAAGTGAATGGAACTTCAAATCTGGGGAATTACGCCAATTATTTGTGCAACGAGGCACGCAGCACAAGAATTTCCGCATGTTTTTCTTTGTCACTTTGGCTCGCGCCTCCAAAAACAGCCCAAGGGTGCTTCACGAGTTAAGTTCCACCCCAGTCTCCTGTTTAATTTCGGGAAGACGAATTTAACCCTTTACCAGCAGGCAAATAACCTTATAATTTGGCCATACAAAACTTAAGCTCGCTTTTTTTGTCGCCATATGAAGTATCCCTTACAATATTTGCGGTTTTGAGACACCCTGGGTTCAGACTTTGGGATCACGTGACCTAGATCATCCGCTTGTGTTTGGATGCGTTCAAATCGATTCGTTTTCTCGCGTTTATAAGTGTTTTTCAAGCCATTTTCCCTCTACAGAAGCCCTCAGGACAGTATCATTAAGCTGGAATGTGGGTAGAGACAAGCCTCTAACAGAAAACTGAGGTGAGAGGTGGTTTCATGTACACTGGACCGCCAAAATGCTTTCTGGCAAGCTTGGCGAGTTCATAAGTGAAGTCGTGTCTCTGGCCCATCTGTGGATGGCTACCAGGATCTACCAAGTCTTTTTGGGCCAGTACTGAGTGGCAAAAGTCCGTATCGATGTGATTTTTTGCTGGTAGGACTGGGTGGCTCGACACTAATAATAATTTGTTAAAATGAAAATGTGAGGTGTTGCCTTCTCGAGTTGTTGTAGAATCTCCCAGAATTCTTTTCGGTCATAAACGAGGCAATGGTTGTGTTTGCGACACTACCTTTCGTCAAAAGGAAGAACAAGGGCTTGCGGATAAAGTGAGAAGGCATTCTCCAGCCAAACAGCAAGATCTGGCCCTGAGGTGTCTTTTGAATGCAAGCTTTTGATTTCTTGAGCAAGTTTTGATCGTAAAGATCGACACTTTTTCAGTGTTGCTCTTGGAGCACAATGCTGCATTTTTGGGATTTGTTGTTATATAAACGGTTCACTGCAGTGGAAATTGGGAATCATTGTGGGTGTTTTAGGCTGCAATAGGTGTCACATCAAACAGCCTTGCAATGTACACACTTATATAATG